CCCAGGCTGGAGAGCAGCCGGTGCAGCGACAGGTAGAAGTCGCATGTCAGCTGAGCGTCGGCCGAGAAGACGCCCAGGTCCGACACGACAAACAGGATCTGAGTGGAGAGAAGGTGTGAGCTATGAGGTACCGATGGTGATGGGAGACAATCGGCCAAAGATTTTGGTAAAAGTGGCATAGCAGAAAAAGTGCTGTTTTATCTCAGCTCACAGTTGTATCCTCATCAATCAGAATGCCAAGTATATCCTCTTTTTTCCAGTAAGTCTATGTGTATGAATGGAGTATATCCTGCAACCTTGGCGCCAAGTAGGCATTGGCATTTCATGCTTGGCCCTAGGCCAATGCCATTCACTCAATAGCCAAGAAACAAGTCAAAGCAAAGAGGTTCAATGCAGAAGCAGGAACAATGCTTGGTAAATGCTCATGCATTTATATATGCCCTTTGGGCCTTTATATACCCCTTGATACAAACCTTGATGTGTCTCTGCAGTTGAGTGAGACTTTTGCTGCTCTCTGTTTTCCTATATGTGTCTGCTGCAGTGATGAAATTTCTTATCTGCTCTGTTGCAGCCATGGCTGAAATAGGGACACATTCAACATTTAGCTAGCTTTTGTAAAATACATTGATGGAAATGTCAGATCTGCAGCAAGTGAGTGTGACACCAAACCATGCAAAATGCTATTAAAAAACCTCCAAAACTAGCCAAACCTTACAATGAACACCTACTATTATAGCCAACATAGCAGTTCAGCCCATACAGAGGAAGACACTGCACCACTAGGTCAAGGTACCTTATACTGGAAGATTAGGTATACCTGCCATGGACAAGAGATTATACCCAGGTCCAGGGTTTGGGTGTCAGCTTACTGAAAATTGTCAGAAGTCTGACATCCTAGCTAGTCATTCATTTACATCCTATATCAAACTCAAGGTCAGCATATTATGCAATGAAGCATCAGTGGATTTGCAGCTTGGTTCAAGATCAACATGAGTAAACAAATTGAGAAACACCTTAATTAACTCTAGCTTTCAGCATAAATTCTGGAACTGTGATCCGAGCCCCGAGGGGTGTTTACGGGCACTGCGACACCCCAAACTGCTGAGTGTGGTGTGTGCAGCAGGCATGGGGGTAGGGGATGGGTAGGCAGTTCTGAAGTCATGGCTGCGCGCGGTGGACGGTTTCCTGTGGCCTGTCCCGACCGGCCACAGTGGTCGCTGTGTGCGGTGACGGAAGGTCAGAGGATGACATAGGGACCCATTAGGCAGATCTTAGAGCCTGTGTACGGTCTGACAACATGCAGGGCCCGTAAACAGCCCTAGCTGAGGACAGCAGACATAAAAAGCAAAGGTTAAGACTTCATTTATAAAAAGGCTCATGAGATAATTTCCAGCTTAATTTCTTCCTACTTTCACCTAGGCACCCATTTCACGATACATCTTATAAAAATGGTACACTTCTGGTTCATGGCTTGGGCTGCAGATAGGGTAAGGGCGGGTAAGAGTACGCGGGCGATAAGAGTACGCATCAGCTGTTTCGGTTGCTTAGCAACGCGGGTTTGTCGAGTTCATGAAGTGACATGAAGCCGCCAGTGCGTGCATGTCACCAACGGAACGTGGGCGTTGAGCGGCGACGCTGTTGAGTTTAAGGCGATGAATATTATTTTCGAGCGTTATGATATTATTATGATATGGTACAATAATTTTGATACTTGGCAGTTGATACAAGGTACATTTCCGTGATTGTTGTGGGAAACTTGTGAGGTTATCTGGGGAAATACTGCACAGTGCAATATTCTGTTTGCGAAGCTTTGCACAACGTTTCGGGGTTGTTTTGTGCGCGAATTGCATGTACGGTAAGAGGACGCACTGTTCAGGAGGGTAAGAGTACGCAGAATTATACATTAAATCGAATATACAGAAATATAGAATTATTAATCTATCGCTCAATGACGATTGTTTTGTAGGTATATCATCAATGGAGCACTGTGATGCAGATGCGTACCCGAAATTCTTCCAAATACGAGTTATTCTCCTTTTTGATTGTGCATTTTTTTTAAGAAACACACGACATGATTATTTCCTGATTTATAGACTTGAAAGATTTATTTTATGTTTTTCTTTTTGGATACTAGAATTAACTTAAATGCCTTCTGAGTTTGAAGTTAAGCATTTGGACAGTGCAAGCTGCATAGGTGTGTGTTCATATGCTTGCGTACTCCACCCGCCTGGCGTGCGTACTCTTACACACCCCATATGGTAAGAGTATGCAAGTGCAACGGTTCAGAAAATGTCAGTTTTAGACCACTTCAGTTGGGCAAACTAGACTTTTGGAATCAAAATATGGAGGCATCAATAATTTGATTCTGGTGGGAGGAGCCATGACCAAATATGGGCATGGAATCAATTTTTTGATTCATTTGGGTACACTTTTGACTTCAAATGTATCGTTACGGTTGAAAAAAGGCCCATGACGGTGAGATTTTTCTTTAAAAAGGTAGAAAAATGTGGTAGGTTTGCAAAAAGTGTTACCTCAAAACTAAGAAATTGTCCCTTTGGCCTTGTGAATGGGAAAAAGACAGAGGCACTGTCCATCACGTAAAAGCTGTTTTGAGGAAATCACACTGTATGTTATTTTTGTATCATGAATCACATACTAAACAATCAGTATTTGTGTAAAATGGCAAAATGAAATTTTCAAACCTCTTATTATCATTGTTGTAGTGCTTTTACATTTATTATATGTTTTTTACCTGTTGCTTCAGTTTTTGCATTCTTGACATTTAAAAATTGTGAATTGTTATCAAATGTAGTGAAGGTAAAGTGCAACAATGCTATAGGTATCTGTTGTGGTGCTGAGGATACCACTAAATGAGAATAATAGCAAGATAAATGCTGTATTCTTGCAAGTCATTGTTGCCTATCTGTTAACATTACCTGTGAATCAAAATAATGATTAGCCAGCTGACGGGGAATCAATATTATGATTATCTGTTTAAAGTGAATCAATTCCTTGATTTCCTTTCACTACCTATAGAATTCAAATTGTTGTGATAGGAGCAATATCATTTTGCTTAGGAGATACTTCCAGCATTTCTGTTCAAGATCAGGCATGCTCCTTCTTGAAACACTCTCTTATTTTTAAGTGTTTGGTAAGTTAGAAATGGTCTGCATTTATGCCCAAATATGGTCATAAGGAATCAATCTTTTGATGCCTCCATATTTTGATTCCAAAGGTCTAGTTTGCCCAACTGACTTCCATTTCAGTTGGGCAAACTAGACTTTTGGAATCAAAATATGGAGGCATCAATAATTTGATTCTGGTGGGAGGAGCCATGACCAAATATGGGCATGGAATCAATTTTTTGATTCATTTGGGTACACTTTTGACTTCAAATGTATCGTTACGGTTGAAAAAAGGCCCATGACGGTGAGATTTTTGTTTAAAAAGGTAGAAAAATGTGGTAGGTTTGCAAAAAGTGTTACCTCAAAACTAAGAAATTGTCCCTTTGGCCTTGTGAATGGGAAAAAGACAGAGGCACTGTCCATCACGTAAAAGCTGTTTTGAGGAAATCACACTGTATGTTATTTTTGTATCAAGAATCGCATACTAAACAATCAGTATTTGTGTAAAATGGCAAAATGAAATTTTCAAACCCCCTAATTATCATTGTTGTAGTGCTTTTATATTTATTATATGGTTTTTACCTGTTGCTTCAGTTTTTGTATTCTTGACATTTAAAAATTGTGAATTATTATCAAATGTAGTGAAGGTAAAGTACAACAATGCTATAGGTATCTGTTGTGGTGCTGAGGACACCACTTAATGAGAATAATAGCAAGATAAATGCTGTATTCTTGCAAGTCATTGTTGCCTATCTCTTAACATTACCTGTGAATCAAAATAATGATTAGCCAGCTGATAAGGAATCAATATTATGATTATCTGTTTAAAGTGAATCAATTCCTTGATTGCCTTTCACTACCTATAGAATTTAAATTGTTATGATAGGAGCAATATTATTTTGCTTAGGAGATACTTCCAGCATTTCTGTTCAAGATCAGGCATGCTCCTTCTTGAAACACTCTCTTATTTTTAAGTGTTTGGTAAGTTAGAAATGGTCTGCATTTATGCCCAAATATGGTCATAAGGAATCAATCTTTTGATGCCTCCATATTTTGATTCCAAAGGTCTAGTTTGCCCAACTGATTTACGCTGAAGAATCGTTGCCCCATGGGTTGATGGTTAATTCAATGAACTTTAATATTCCCTATTTGCGATTTCTTTCCTTCAAATATTAAACAAATGAGAGCAAGAAATACACTAAGTGCGTACTCTTATACTGATACGACTTCACCCTATCTGATATTTTGAAGTTTTTGAATTTGAACTATACGAACAAACAAAAGTAATTAAGTAGGTAAGTAAGCCACTGAAACGTCAAAAACAAAACAATACCTACCGAAATTGAAATCGCGGTCTTATTACTTTGTGCACGTATTTGACGATTTTTTCTAATTTAAAAGGCCTCTATCTTGACGCGAACGACCGACGAACAATAAACAAATCGAAATGTTCAAAATCAGCGCCGCTTCTGGCAGCTGAGTATTGCTGCCATATCCAGCCGCGTTGATACCAAATCGAAGTATTACTTCACGCACCTAAAAGAAATTACAAGTTTTCCTCCATCTCATTTGCACAGATGGATGTCGCGCTGGGATAAACGAAAGCTGTGCTTACCGGCTGAATGATGACCGACCGAGCGAGCGTAGTGCAATATTCTTTCCAGATTATTATATCCCGATTATGGGCAGCCTTGTAATCGTGCGAGAATTGACCTCGAAATGAACGTTCCACCAACGCAAACTGTATAAATGGCACGGGCAATATAGAGTTCAGTGGGCAGGGGCAAATGATACATTAGCGTCAGAGATAAAATATTTTCACTCAGCTGTCGGATTCATGCGATAGTTGCTGCTATTGCTCGTCAGATTAAACAGTCGCTTTTGTGGCATTTATTTCTGCAGCTAACAGCATAAATTCATAAAACGGCCAAGTCATTAGTACTGTAGATAACGATAAATAGTCAGCGCACTAAATGACAGCTCTTTCGCAGTTTCCATCAGACCAGCAAAAAAAAGAAGACTTACGAACAAAAAGCCACACAACGTTTATATTGATTACACCTTGTGCTTCTCTAGGTTGCGCGTTCTTCCTTCCCCGCCAAAGCAAACACACCGACACACACACAATCACCGCGTAGGTATGCTGCCCATCCCGCCAAACGCGCACATTTCTCCGACTTGTATTCCCGATTTAAAGACATCGCGATAGCAGCGTTCCTGTCATCAGTCGTGTGCCATTCTCGGCGCTCTCCTGTCCTATACAGTGTGGGTGTCAGACCACCCAGCAGAAAACGTAAGTTAGACCGGCTTCTGCCGCCGACCTTTGACGCAAGCACACACAACAATCACCTGCGGCGGGCGGGGAGGGGACGGTCGCTGCAGGCAGGGTCGCCACACGCCGCGCTCACGGCGCCGGCCGATGGTTACAGGGCCGACCGATAGATGGCAGGCCACACGCTAACCACCACCGTGCGCCAGAGGATTCGCTGTCGATCCGCCACGGTGGGCGCCTCAGACCTCAGCCACATCTCCCATCCGACCCCAGCGCGAGTCCCCTCAACGGACCTACGGCGGCGGCGGCCCCATTGGCGTCTCCCTGGGGCGCCGGCAGCGGCGTCCCGGCGTCATGGAGCGGGCCAACTCGGCCGGGGCGGCGCTCGGAGCCTCTCAGCCACTGTCAGCGGCTCGGCGGCCCGCTCAGGACGCCGCCGCCGCCGCCGCGACGGCCGGACCTAGGCGCCGGGAGCGTTACGCAGCCGGCTCCGGCTCGGCGTCACCGTCGTCGTCCTCGGCGAAGTTGAGCCACGACTGCTCGACGATGGCGGCCACGCGCTTCTCGTACTCTCGCCGGTTCTCCTGGTAGAGCTGCGCGGCCAGCGAGTTGGCTGGCGAGTTGGGGTTCGGCTCGTCCAGCAGCGACTGACGGTAGAGCGGGGAGGGGAGGTCAGAGCGGGGAGGGAGGTCAGAGGGCAGTAGGGAACAGCCCAGAGATGCTTGTCAGATGACCAAGGGACGTGGTGACGAACAAACGTGGTCAGAAACACAAACGGTAGATGGGACAAGGGGTGTGCTAAAACATGTTGACGCTTGTTAGTCGAATGACGAATAACAGATGGGGCAAAATTTCTTTCGCGGCTTGTGGAGTGGTGATTTGAAACAGGCATACCACCGTTCACTGATCAAGTAACAAAGTCAAAAGCGAGTCATTCAAATAACCTTCACATAAACAAAAGGACGTGGTCACAGGCGTAACAAGCACACAAGTAGGAAGAGAGGGGACCAAGGAATGATTCCAATCAACTGATGAGCAAAAACCTGACACCATGGCTACTGGTAAATCTCAGCACTATTTTAAATACACCAAACAGCCAGAACTACAGCTCAAGCCCGACCTACACCATATACGCCTGAAAGGTTGAAAGCCAAACCGGCACACCGTCGCGATACGGTCTCGCATCTGCCGGGCCATCATTTCCGCAGTCCAAACCAGATGAAACAAACGGGAATGACGGGCACTTTTGTAGGAACACTGCGGTCGTGTTCCAACGCCGGCGATTGCGCTCTGCAACCAGAACCGGAAAGTCTTTACAAGACCACACGGTGCTGGCCACGTTGTGTTTGGTTGCAGTTCTAGGCAACGTTTGTAACCAGTTTTAGAATCACCCAGGCGAGTCAGTTCGGCGGCAATTTTTCGCTCTCCATTCCGCTGTCAGTTGACGTGAAAACGCAACGCCGGCCAGGAATGCTCTTTGTCTTCAAACATTTTTGGACACGCTATCTTGATGCGAGCAAAGTTGCAGAAAATGCTCGGAAAGGAGTGACTTACAGATTAGCGTTCGGTGTCGACTTCCAAAGCGGCACGGGCCGTCACCAAACACAGTCGGCATTGTCACAGGTGGATGATCGCACCACTCACAAGGCCGGAACGGACCCACACCGCGAACACAACACACAATAACAGCATCACTCATCAGTGACAGGAACACAGGCACTGCCCCACTCCCCCGACCGTTCAATTCATATCGGTGTTTGCAGGCGGTGCGTGCAATAATGACAATCACTCTGTCAGTTACCGTCACGCCAGCCTCCGCTCCCACAATCACATGTCAATATGCCGGTGGAACGGCTCGTTCCAAATACGAACATCTCGCATCGATAGATGCACAGGCGTTCATATCACATCAGTGACAGCACGCCAGCCAGCCTACCACAAACACCGACAAGAGACATGGCACGGCCAGGCCTCCTCCGCTGAAAAATAGATCATTTCTAATAACAGAGCCACATAGCCCAACCAAAACATAAACTCATGAAGCAGTAGCCGTCTCCGGTACCTGTCTGTCCTTGCCGATAGCGTGAACGGATTGAACCCGACCGGCCGGCGCGTGACGAAAAAGTACCGGGCACCGCTGAGCCGGCGGACCGAGTAACGGGATGTCGGCAGGGTGGGACCTTCGGCAAACGGCCGGCGGCATACCAGCCGACCGCGGCGGCATACCAGCCGACCGCGGCGGCCGTGGAGTCCGCTACTCGGCCGTACAGCTGATGGCGCCGGCAGCACCGGGAAACCGTGACCGGCGGCCGGCGGTCCCCCTGCCGGCTGTCCCCCCCCCCCCCGGCCGGCACACGCTCACTGAGCACAATGTCGGACCGCTTACAGCACGCTCACCCGGCCTACAATGCCACTCACCAGGCATGGAGGCTCGACACGGACTCGGTAAAGCCAGGAAAGCAAGCCTCGGCAGGCGCTCAACAGCAATCCAACGTTACGGTGTGTGGAACAAAGCCAGGAGGGTGGCCCGAGCCGCCTGCACAATGCACATCCCTTGTCTCAAACACACCAGCTGTGGGTAGACCTCTAGTTAGATGTCTCGATGTCTGATTGTTTGGTTGTCTTTGATGTCCAATGTCTATAGCTAAATGTCTGGCTCTCATTCGACACAGCCGCTCCACTGTTTTGGCCAGCGCTGACTGTCCGCCGTCGCCCAGCCATCCGACCGTCAGCACGGCGGCAGCGCTCGGCGCGGCGGCGGTCGGTTGGCTCGCGTGCGGAGTGGGGCGCGCCTAGCGTCGGGTGCGTGCCACGGGCCGGCCGCGCCACGGCGGTGCGTTATTTGGCCGGCGCTATCTGTCACCGGCAGGGCTGGCCCAGACCCCCCCCCCCCCCGCCCCCCCCAGATCAGCCAGACTGCAGACCGGTCGAGCTGCAACTGCCGCTGCGGCAGTGGACGGGGGGAGGGCTGCAATCGAGCGGAAACTCCGACTGCCTGATAACCAAACAAATCAACCGTTCAACAGCTGAATATTTGGATAGGAGGTCGAGAGGGCAACCCATCGCTCACTTCACAAAACGTAAGGAGCGAGAACTAATGAATAAACGTGGTAGTCATACCGTGGTAGTCATAAACTAGAACGCAGTTGACTCAAAGATCAAGAAATGCAAAACACGAGAGTGAAAGCAAAACTGTTCGGTGCATAAGCAGCTACAACCTTGCTTCAACAAGCCATCAACAAAAGACATGTTGGATCCTCCATCGCATACCAACAGGACTTGCTCCACCAACTAAGAAAGTTAGTCGGCATAAACTAACTTACTAAGAACCAAAAAGTTGCTAGAAACATGGAATCGATCAACGGTGTTCCCGCCCCAGCGGCTAACCGCATCAAGATATACGGATTTGTTTTTGACTGGCATTTGTCTTTCAGGTGTCGCATATGTGTGCCTTGCCTCTGATAGCTGACTACTGTGCTTGGTAGCCACATTGACTGCACGCACGACCACTCACAATCCCGGACGAAGTGAGTCTCACTTATATCTCTTCGATAGGCACTACTGGCACTGGTTAGACAGCGCGATACTGTGTGATTGGATTATTTAATCAGCCAGTCTGGTATATTTAAACGAGCGGTGCTTAGAGTTTGAGTTCAGTTTCTTAGTAACCAACATGATCTGTTCGCTCGTTCATGTGCTACCTCCTACTGCGGCGATTGGTTATGTGCCGGATGTATTACACCTTTCGTCCGTTGTCCCCACAGTTATAACGGTCATCACGGTCTGCGACTACTGTGGGCCCACCGACTACAAGCCCTGATCACAATAAATCTTGTAGAACTCTGCCCTGGTAGTTTTTTCCTGTTGGCCGGATCAAACGGTGAACGGCTAGTATCTAAGCCACCTCTGGAACAATCGATGTCCCAAAACATGCAGGAACCGAGAGAAGAGATAACTAGGAAAACTATCTCAGGAGCTGGATGCAAGTTTGCGGCGGCTAACCGCTGCAGATGTCTGACAGCTGTTATCATCACCCCGGCTTTGCAATGTGACAGTCACGGTCATAGGGCGTCTGGAAAGTCCAACTTCCTTCATCCGCTGACAAGATAGACAGAAAACAAATGTGCTTGCGTGTCTGATAAGTGATAAAGGTAAATAATCGTCGCAATACCCTTCCTTTCTTGTGTCGCATTGCCTTGCACCGGTCGCCAGCTTCAAGATTCGATAATCCCAAGGGCAGAACGGCGAATGAGGAAATCGTAAATAAGGCACATGGTAATGACAATGAGGGTGGCCATAGGCATGCGAAAGACTACACCAACAGGCTGACTCAACCAATCGAACTGGCGTTGTTCAGCATCTATCACCTCCTCCCCCATTCCAGCCAAGTTCCACTGACCTGTATGGATGTGAGGATGGCGGACACATCGTAGGTGGGACTCCAGCGGTTCTGCAGAATGTCCAGGCAGATGCCACCGTCCGCGTACACGTTCGGATGGAACATCTTGGACATGAAGCGCACCAGAGGCGGCTTGTTGGGGTACTCCTCAGTGAACTCCATGATGAGCTTGAATGTGCCGTCCTCGAATGGTGTGTCGTGCGGCCTGTCAAACAGAGAAGAGACGGTGGTTAGGTGGGTGGGTAAATGGAGCTGGAAGAGACGCTGCATGAGCGTGCCAGCGAGGATGGATTTACACGGATGGGCGTGCGATGGAAGATGGAAAGAACATTGGTTACAAGTGTGATAGAGCCTGAAAGTGAGGCGGACTTTGGGCGTGATGTGCTCAAGTGCAGTAATAAGTGGCATGGTCATCAGTCTCTGAGCAGCAGAGGGAAGTGCCGGAGCTGCTTTGAAACATGGCGTTACAAAGCGTGGGGAGGAACTACATGGGGTGTAGAATTTGACGTTGGCAGAGGAAGGTTGTCTGACACGGGTATGAAGACATTGGTGTAGTGATGCAGAACGAGGAAATGGAAGCATGGACATGGTAGGGAAGGAAAGTCATACAGGACATACTCAAACAACCAATACTCAAATTTGTTTAAAACAAACATTCATAACGACGACTCACACTCTTCATGTACATTCCGGACACAGAAAAAAATAGATAACAATTAAAAAAAGTATGTTCTATTAGGCATCACAAAAAGGTCACTTTAGCATCATTTTAATGCTTAAAAAGCAACGTAGTGCGTGAGAGAAGACGACGTGAGCAAAATGACGACAGACTCGGTTCGTCTTCACCTAATCCTCTCGGGCAAAATTCACAAACCAGACACATGCACAGGACATTCAGCCGAGCAGACACACGCGCAGTAGCGGCGGAACATCCTCAATTAAGGGTGGGGGGTGGGGGGTGGGGCACTGCCGACTTTTGGTCCCATTCTTTCCATGCAACGCCCATAGGGCTAATGTTAAAATGCCAAAATCAAAGGGGGGCACGGAGCCCCGGTGCCCTCCCGGTCCGCCGCCTATACAAACGCGCAAGTGAAATGCACATCTGTCAGTTACGAGCCAAACAAACTCCGAAACTGCCCCCAGAACTCACTGGTACTATAATTCTCTCGAAAGAGCTGTAAATCTAAAACCACGGCCACGACGGGCCGGGGCACCAGAGAGAGCAATCTCGCTATCACGCCAACTACGAGCAGCTTACACACGGAACGAATAGCTGGCAGACACAACTTCACAGCCAGCTCCCGGGGACTTCCGCGTTGGCAGCCCTCGGTCTGTAACTCGGTTTACGGCCTCATTACAATCAGCCCGAAACGTGCAGGTCGTGCGGCAGCGGATTTGTCGTCCCACCGCGTACAGTAAACCCGGCTGAGGGTCCAGATCGGCGTAGGATGTGCCCGTGCGGATGGCCCTGCGATTGCAGCGAGTCAAAGTTACCGGATTTGTATTTGTGTAAGCTGGGATTTATCGGTGCGGTGGATTCTAGGATGAATGCGGAGCGCTAAGTCGACTCTGTCACGTGGACCGTGACCCCTAACATGGGGTGGCGTCACCCCAGTACGGCAGTACTTCCGTGACACCAACTTCAGCCTTTAGGAACTATTCCAGCCGACAGGAATGCGATATTTTGTGACCTTCTATCCGAGCTATCTATCGGGTTGGCGCACACAAGTCTTCTTCAAGAGAGGAGTAAAAAGGAAATGATCAGAGGGAAAACTTGGTGTGCATTGAGTGCAGGTCAAAATGTAAACTGTTTATGAACTAAGTACAAGAAGACTATGTTGCAATAGTAAAAAATTGCATAGAAAAAACAATCGAGGACAAGTTCCATTGCTGATCGCAAATATGCAAAACAGCGAAATGTGTCAAAAGTAGTGGAATCGTACACTAACCACAGACAAAATGCTTTACGTCCATGTTGCTCTCGAGTTGACAGGTTTAAATGAGCGTTAACAGTGTAGCCAGCGGCATGCCGATTCTCAAAACTTCGCAAACCTCTGCATGCCGTATTGCGCGGAACCGGCGGACGGCGGCGTTCACACATTTCCCACCTGTGAAGGCCGTCACGGCTCACACCCGCCCCGAGAGCCTCTGAGCGGCCCCCGTGTCCACTGCGGGACATATACGGCCGTGACGGCCGCGGCAGGCCATTTCCCCGGGCCGACAGCCGACCTGCACGCGGCCGACACGCCACTTCGGCGAACACGCCGGGCGCGGCGAGGTACGCCGCAGCACGGCGGCGGGCAGAGTCGGTACAGAGTTGGTACAACAACGGGGTACGGACCATGTTGAAGGTGCACCGGCCACAGTTCGGAGGTAAGGCAGGGGTGCTGTGGCAGCACAGCAATGGCGCGGCAGCTGTATGACGATGGCACGACAGTTAACAGTAGATCTGTACGACAGCCGCAGGGAACTGGTACGACCGCACAACGACGACAGTACGACTTTGGTACCACAGTGGCATCAGGCCTCCACACCATGCCGGTATACTGGCTCACCACCCATGGAAGCCTCCCCGGTGGGAGAGAGGCAGTGCGACGAGCAAATTGGGCATTATGTCTGACCGGGCGGCAGCTAATTCATCAGCTGTTGGTGGCCAGTTACGCCAGCACCCAGCCAGGAAAGCGCCGACAGACGGGCGTCGCGTGGGCTGGTGAAAAGGCCAGTGTCTGCGTCATACGGTCGACCGATCCGCCGGCCGTAGCCGCACGGAAAGGTAGAACGCCGGGTAGACGGTCGAACAAACGGAGTGGAAACTGGGGTGGCGGCCTCGGCATACGGCCGGTACTCGGGGAAATGGGAAATCGATCCAGCCTGGAGACGGACGCTATTGCCAGTCCAGACAGAGGCCAGAAAGACATGCAAGGCACAGTGATGGTCTGAACTTCTGGGTGACTTCCGGAAAAGTTGAGAAGGAAGACTGAATGTTCTCCCGAGTACACAGCAAACGGTGACCGCGGCGCACGGTAGAACACATCGTGATGAGCTATTGTTCCATGAAATATCACCAAATGTCTCGGAAGCCCAGCACAGCACAGCACAAAACAACCAATGACCGCCCGCCAAAGAAGACTGTAAGCCAGCATCACATACAGGTGTAGAGCCGATGGAACAGTTCCAAATACCAGCATGACCAACAAACATGAAACAACAGACAGCCAACAGGCCAACAGCCTACCTACAGACGGCCAACAGACATGCAACAGACATAGGTATACCAGCACGGTAAATACCTATAGAAAAGGCATTAGCCAAGTCACCCAGCTAATCCATAGGCGAAGCTATAACACACAAAACAGAACCGGAATAATCGACAGGTTCCAAGCTTCGCTCCAGACGACCTTATCAAATATCCAAACACCTGAGATGGTGATTTTGGGCCAGCACTATTATAATCAGCAGACTTAAAAATGTCCAAAACGTGACACCATCAGCAGCCCTACCATCACACCAGTGGCGGGTCAGCAACACATTATGGCATTCGATGCTGAAATCGTGCTGTCGGGTATTCAAGACACGGCAGTTAACAGCTATTTATAACATTGATGTTGTCAAGCAGTCACAATGAAGAAAAAACCAAACCCAGACAACGTAAATCAACGTTCCGAGCAGACAGCAAGCATGGAATGGGGCGCACTAGAAACGGTAAGCTGTATGACTCGCTCACACAATGTTACCGAAAAGTTACACCACCTGTCACCAAAAATGTCAGCCAGCAGTCGTGTCTGCTATAATCACGCACTTCACGCGTGCATCCACTCTGCAGTCTGTACCTTTCACTTTGCACGATCTATCACGGGCGGAGATCCGTGTAACTTGTTGGTAGAACAAATAAACAGATGTTCACCAAACAAACACTAAAAACGCAGCTGACAGTTCATGGAAACGCCTTACTGACTGTGTGTTGGATATAATCAGCTCCATTAGACGGTCCTCTCAGTCCCAGTGGATCTTATAAGGTCAGAGCGTCGTCCGCACCATATATCCAAAGAATAACATCAAAAGAAGATCACACTGAACGCTCCATAAAACGACCTCGCAAGTCGCAGCGCGATACTTATGGCGCATAATTGATAAGACGGTATGTATATAATTATTACAGCAGCGCATTTCATGAACGATTCATCGGGCAACACATGTTACTAGTGACTCAGCACCACCGTGCTATAGTGACTCAATGCCACTGGTGGACACCGCACCACGGAACAAAGGGTGAGGTGTCGTCCTGACGGCGAGTTTACTCAGATTACCGACACTGGCGCGGGGAAGGACTCACGCAGCAGAACTCCCCTCAAACTACCGTGAATTCTCGACGATGCCCCTGGAGTTCCCTTTTTTAAGTCATATGTGAGCGAATGGCGTAATCTCGTACCGGACGGTGACGTAATATTTGCATCACTGCCTGACGGAAGGGTGATTGTCGCTGTGTGTATGAGCTTGATAACATTGGTATGATCTCTGGGGAAGTACACCACTTCAGCGATTTCATCTTTCTGGTGTAAGGCGCATGAGCATTCCAGCTTGGGACGGGAATAAGGTACAGTGTACACTGTACTAAATCACTATCGAGCGGATCCATAACGACATACCTACACACCATGCAGGGATTTCACACTGGAAAGACCGTAACGCTACGGCGAACATTCAAACGGCTTCATAAACCTTCTCTATACGCTCTAATCTCTATTCCATCCCCATCCCGCCCCTCCTCGTCCCCGCGTCAGTCCACCTACCCGAAGATGACGGCGTTCCAGATCATGATGTTGTTGTCGGTGGGGGCGGCGCTGACGCCCTGAGGCGGGTCCTCCTGGAGTCTGAAAAAGCACCACGTGACGTCAGCTCCATGCGGAAAGTTTCGCCACGGCGCACCGCGATGACGTCACGCGCAGGCGCGTAACCACGAGTCTGAAGTTACTGGGGACCACATGGAGGGCCACGAATATTTTTTTTCTGGATCAGCCTTTGCCCGAGTGTGGGGGGGGGGGAGGGGGAGGCGTTTTTGGCCACACCTGCCAGTTAGTTGTTGCGCGTGATAAGGAAAACCGCGGCGCACACCGCTGCGAAACTTGGTATGGCTTATGATAGGGTGAATAGGTCAAAAACGCCCCCATTAAGCGCGAAACCTTCTGACACTCAACCCAACTCAGATTACTCAAACCTTTGGGCACCATCATGTAGCTCATTCTTTTTACTACGCTTTGAGACCAAGAAAAGACACTTGCGTGTGGTATTTAACCCCCAAAAAAGGTTTCCGCATACCCTTACAAAAGGGCGTTTTGCCCCACACCCTGGGTAATACGCCCACACCCATGTGCAAAGCGCCCCCACCCCATCCATCAACAGAAAATGATGAACATGGCAGAACTTGACGTCATTCTGACGTCATTTGTGGTCAACCTATCATAGCCTTTGGAATAAAATGTTGTTGCAATGTGTAAAATGGATGCCCGGAGGAGTCCTGAAAGTTTGGTGACGATATCTGCAGTCGTTAGGATATATCAGCAAAAATGGACAGGGAGAGGCCTTTTCGGCCCCGACCTACACGGCGCTACCCTGCACTCTCACCACCGTGCAAAACGCCCCCCTTTCAGAAAACTGGGGGCGTCTTGCCCCATGCATCGAGTAGGCGTCTTTCCCCATCCACTCCATTTCCGGTCAACAAGATATTGACAAAAAACGCGCTACTAACGCCGCAGCGCAATAAATTCAACAGAATGACAATAAAACGCAGTTTTGAGTGATGTGCACAATAGCAAGTTTTGTGATATAAAGAGGGCATCAAAAGCTTAGGAATCTTCTGTAAAAACAACAAAAACAGCACCCAAAACCAACATCAGCACCTACCCACGCTGCTCCTCAAGACGCAGAACCGGAAATAGAGAACTACGTAAACAAGCAGCTGACTGTTCTGAAAGCCAGGATAAAACACCTATCCGTCGATAAGATCTACGATTTTTTTTAGGGGAGGCGTTTAACCCAGGGGTGCGTTTTCCCCACAGTTACCCTACCTCAATTTCGCATCGTGTCTGAAAATTTTGACGCCAAGTCACCTAAGGTCAGGTCACCAGGTCAGTAAAGTAACCAGGCCTCTAAAAAACTTTGTGACTCTGTCATTCCTACAGTTTAAATCCCAGAAATTTGAAAATTGAAACTCGAGCTTTTGCATGAGGAAATCAGTATGAACAATTCGTATACCTATCTTAAAGTTTTCACATCGGTGAGCTAATGTCAGGTCAATTTTACAACCTCTCCATTATAAGTCATTGGGAGAAAATTGAAATGCTCTTCTTTTGGCCGAAAACACATTCAAACACCTTGACACAGGTAAATATGACACACTGAACCGGGAAATTGCACCTGTGACCCGTTCTATGCCCCTGAGCTCATCTCAGGTCATGAAACATCTCCAACAGTTTTTTTTTTTGCCACGACTTGTCACGACTGATAGCTTCTAAGAGACACACTGAACCTGATTTGACCAAATCTGCACCTGATCTGCACCAGATGCGCACCAAATGTGTACCAGATGGCTGTCGTGAAAACGGCTAATATGGTGTGGCAAAAAGTCCCCCCTACCATGGCGAAGTTGGCTGAGAGGCCCACGCGGGCGCTGGCTAAACAAAACATCGATAGTTTTGTCTTTCGTTGAGTCGTTGAGTTGACTACATAATACTCTTCACGTCGATTTAGAGACAACATTTTGCTATTTAAAGAGACCCTCCCACCTTAACATTAGTTTTGAGTTGAGATAGCCAAATTGGTGGCCATGGCCTGAAAATACCGGTTTGGGCACTCACAACATCGAAAAATGCTTTAATTCGGAGATATGGAATTTCAAACTTGCAGTTTTCGGATTCTAAGGGGCTAATGCATTGGTATGCCCCCTTAGAATTTGTGACGTCAGCGGAGGTCTAACGATTTTTAAATCTTTTACTAAAACGTTTGGTAGCACGCGGCGGTATATGCTGCTTTGCGCGCAACAAATGCCGCACTTTCAAATAAAGTCGCTAGGAACAGCGGAGATCCCAGAAAGTAAACAATAGTAAAAGTCTAATATCTTGAAAACCGGTGAATATTTTTCGATGAAATTTGGTAGATATTCGTTTTCGCTCTTTCTGAACCGAGCGACATCACTTTCATGCCAATTCATTAACTTTTTTGAAGGTGGGAGGGTCCCTTTAAGTAAATTGAGGAAGTCGTCGGTTTTACTGGGGACGGTCCCCAGTAACCCAAAAGCTACTGGGGACCGGTCCCCAGTATCCCCAGTGGTGGTTACGCGCCTGGTCACGCGCACGTGCGGAGGTGACAATGACGTTCATATCATACTGTGTGATCTAAATTTAGAATGTGGCCGTTTTATGTAACACATTCTGACGTCAAATGACACATTGTTTTTATTAGGTTAATCGCTATCAAATGCTCAATATTCGTACGCACGTCACCCCTAGACAAAAATGAACTTGACTGAAATTAGGTGGCTGATGCATCTGGCATATCTGTCGACCTGCAATGTCCCAGACTCCAGTTATGAGCCCATGCATGGCAGAGTTCAGCGAGCAAGACGATCAGAGGGGAGAGGGCATGGACAGTGGAGGGCACCAGCACTGCTATGGTGAGCACAGCTTGTAAAATGAATATGCTGTTTGACGTTCATATACAACCACACAGAACATGCCACCAGTTATTCATGAACCTGGTAAAAAGGAGTTAACCAGAGCCGTGCCAGCACCCCCCCCCCCCTCCGTCTAACTCAGCTCCTGGGCCACGTAGCGACACGCAGTAAGCGGCATTAACCCGCGCCCCAGTGGCGGTCTCAGCCAACTTCGCCCTAGTGGGGGGGGGGGGGCATATGTTACCACCCACCTCTAACTCAAAAACTAAGAGGGCTAGAAAGACGCGGTAAAAAGCAGTCGATAGCACTCAATGCGTACGTTTGAAAGTATTTCGGTCATTTTTCTTCTTGGAGCAATATTGGGGTCACTGGAGGTCATCAAAGGTCAAAATTTCCCAAATGTCATTATATTTTTCAGAAAACATGCTTTTATCTCAGGAACTATGATGGCTAGAAAAACGCATGGAAAAGCAATCGATAGCTTTTGAACTCTTCTTTCGATAAGGTCACATCAAAATTGACCTCAGGTCAACGGTTTAGCCTGCAGAGGGCAAAAACTCCAAAAATAGCTGTTTTTTCGCAAAGTGTTTTTCGACAATAACTTTTGACTAGAAAAAGCCACGACATTTCTATTGCCAGAATCGTATTCCTCTCGACGAGACGCGTCGAATGAACTATAATTTGACCTTGAAAGGTCAACTTGAAAATTTGACCTCAGGTCAAGGTCATGACCTGGCCGGAAAAGGTAATGTTGCATATCATTCGATGCGTCTCAACAAGACAAACACAATGAAACCATCCCCAGCGTTCTATCTCTTTCCAATCGCGAGTTATTGGCAAAAATCTGTTTGTAGCCTCAAATGACCTCGGATGACCTTTCTAGAGGCTATCAGCAAAAATGACACCTTGGTCATCACGGGTGGTCCAAATCATTGTAATTCTGAAATATTTGGACTGTTCCTATGCGTACACACGGATCTAGAGGCATTTTCATTTTCCTCCATTGACTTATAATGGTAAGGTCACGCCACTGACCTGACCTTAGGTCACGGATATAAAAAATCCGAGATATACAAATTGTAGGGGCCCATAACATCATGCAATCCACCAAGTTTAAAACCTTTCTGACAAACACTGCAGGCTGGACATGATTGCAAACTTTTTTTAGGCCTGGTCAGTTAACTTGACCTGGTGACCTGACCTGACATGACCTGGGGTCAAAAATTACACACATTGTCCAAAATTGATGTACAAAAAGCTATGCCAAGCGGCGCGGCGCTACGCGCCGCGGTTTTTTATTTATACGCAAAAAACGCGACAGGGTGGTAACATATGCCCCCCCCCCCCACTGGGGAGAAGGTTAAAAGAGCGTCAAAATAACGAAGAGAATACACGGGTCATTTTAACGTCAGGTCAAGTAAGGTCACAAGGGGATATTCCAGGTCAGATTTTGCCTATTTCAACATTTTTTCGACAAACCGGCGCATAACTGGAGAACCAATGGAGCAACGGCGCCAAACTCTTACAAATTGTTTTTACGAAAAATTGAATTAACTATGCTGACCATGAAAGGTCATTTTGAAAATTTGATAAAATTTTCAAAATGACCAAAATTTTCAAAATCAGGTCAAGGTCATGACCTCAGACTTTCCCAGAAAAGGTCATATTTCATACCAGTCGATCTGTGTCGTCGAGCTGAAAATATCTAAGGTGGTTCCATCATGCTAGCATGCCTCAATCCAAAGTTATAAAAAAACTGCTAGGACCTTTCATAACCTAGGATGACCTCAGAGGCACAAGCAGGGGTCAGTGGTGCAATTTTCCGATTCAATGTAACATGTTTACCTGTAAACCGGTGTTTGAGTGTTTAGTTAGAAGGACGTTCCTCCAAAAGAGATGCATTTCAATTTTCTTCCATTGACTTACTTCCATTCCATTTCCATTGACTGGTCACAAAATTGATCTGACCTCAGGTCACAGATATCATAATTCCGAGATATATATTTCATAAGCACTGTCAATTTTATCAATCACTGAAAGTTCCAAAGCGATAATTCAGTTGATAATTCAGCTATGGCGAGCACTGGAACTTTCTCTGAGGTAGGTAAGTTCACTTGACATAACCTGGTGACCTGACCTAGATAGACCTGGGTCTGAAATTTTCACGTGTGAAGAAAAGATGGATTAACCCTCGCATGTGTGCGGCGTTTGCCAGCTTCTAATGTGTAGTGGGGGGGGGGGGGGTTGGACCCCCCCTTGCCGTTTGGCCCCTGATCGAGCTAGAGCTTCGCGGAAAAAACGAGCGTGTTGCCCGTGACGAGAGGAAGCCGATGATACCCAATTTTAAGGTCCTAGGTCATTGGTTGACCTTCCAGGTCAGGTCAATGACCCAAAGTCGGGAAAATTGGGACCTATTAAAAAGTCGTAAAGTGTGGCTGCTAAGGGTTTTTTTCGGGGTGCTGATCACGAATATCGTGTTAGTTTTGATCACAGATAATGTCTTTAAGCATTTAGACCAGGTCGGGTCAGGTCAGGTCAGGTCAACCAGTAGGGGTTGTGACGGGTATTCGTAATACGTGTCAACCGCCTCTGACAGCTTCGTAACTTCTTACGAAGGCACCAAAACTACTTCGTAAATGTTCAACTGGTTGCTAAATTCGAATTCAGCTCCAAAAACTAGCCTAGAAACATGTAAAGCTCGAAAAAAGTGAACCGAGGTCACCCGAGGTCACCAAAGGTCAATGACCTGACCTGACCTTCAGGTGACCTTGACACCCACCTTAATGCATGGGAGCAACATCAAATCACATGTTTGAACGTTTGAAACCACGAAAAGCTTGCAAACGCGCGGCTAATGCGAGCCGACATACGCGGAATCGCGATTCCGGCCAGAATCGCGATTCCGGCCAAACATGGTCTCGGAAAAGAGGTCACAGGTCAAAGGTCATTTAGGTCAGGGTCATGAAATTTTCAGGGTAGGTGTAAAATTGATCAATGCGAGGGTACTGAAAGTTTCGTCGCGATCGGCCGCTTTTTACGCGAGTTATTCGCGAAAAACCATGCGGGGGTGGGGGGGGTCCCACCGACCACCCCCCTACACATGCGAGGGTTAAGGTGTACCAAAAATGGGGGAGCATGTTTTTTGATATTTGTGAAACCCTCCCCCAGCACAGCACGAGTTAAGACAACCAGCAATGCTCTAAAATTTTCTAACAAGGAAATTTTCCTAGGGTGTCAGAATGGGAATCAGAATGCAGCATTGCCCTTTAATACCATTTACTTCCCAGGAAAGCATGTAAAATATCAACAAATGGCATTCATATGTCATGCACAAGAGACAGCAAGAGGGGTAGCAAGCCAATGATCATCCCAACAGGCCACATTACATCACACTGACCTTTTGAAGTCCCGCATCAGACGCCTCCGAGCTGGAGTGGACATGACTGTCCAGCTGTGCCAAATGTAGTCACAGCCAGTGACACCAGGCTGTCCTCTTCAGAGATAGGTAGGTACTGAAGGGAGTTGAGAACTGTGATGAAAATGTGATGACAGCCAATCAAAGTTGATGTGGTAGCTAGTGTAAAATGATATTGGCCACATTTTAAGCACCCTTAGCACATTAACATTGATTCTAAACACTCAAGCTGCCACTATATCCAGCAAATGCCTATTTCTACTTATTCAGAAAAAAAACTATTTGCCATTTGGTGTTGTTAGTTTTTTTTTCATTCACCTCTCTGCTAGTTTTTCCATGCATTGAACTTTGAAGTTACTTGCTGGCCTTATTAGTTTCCATTGTAGGTAACAATCAAACACAGACAAAACAATTAATTGCCAAGAAACTCTGGCAAGTCGGCGGAATACTGATAACTATCATTTTAAATTAGCAAATGCTTACCTGTTTTTCTGTTCACCTCCTGATTTATACTGATACTGATACTGCTTTGAACTTCTAATTGGTTTATACAAATTAGAATATGTGATTCTCAACACTCAAAATGAGATAAATATTGATGTAAATGTCTGTGAGTGCAGCTGAGCCTGAGTTTTGAGGCTTCACAGATTCTGACCATATGATTTTCGAGACCACTGCAACTGGTGAGTTATAAAGGACTTTCCGTTATCTTTAAAATACTGTGATAGACGATATCTTGACTTATTTTTACACACCCCTCACTGCTCTCGCAAATATGTTTCCTCGCAGTAAGTAACTCACTCACGACACCCCACAATCTTAGTCAATCTTAGTCAATAATCACTCTGTTGTTGTTCCCGTTACAGTTAGTCACTCTTCTTTTGTGCTCCATATTTGCTTCAAGAACATCTATTCAGAATATCACCTGAAAACTGATGACGAATGAAATGGTAGAAAGGCCATTGGTTGTATAAATAATTGACTTCGTTCATTCGCTCTTTTTTGCTAGTGCTAGCAGCTTTTCATCATTTGTATCACATTTCTGAACAGCTGAGCAAAGAAAATGCATATTCTGCGCACAAGAGACATATCCATTTTTGGTAGCTAGTCAAGGCCGTCAAATTCATTTAGCTGGAAAGCACAGCAAGCACGGCAAAAAAGCACCATTCACATTTTTACATATGACGCTGTAGTCTTAATGGAGGCTTTAAATTTGGACGATGCGATGTTGAAATCACCATTCATTACAGTAGAATAAATACCATTATGCTTTTTATTCAACACATGCAATACAAAGCACGCGTATTGTCTCCACCAACATTCTGAAAACCGAACTGAACGTTGCGTAGGTCAAGGCCCTAAATATATGTATCGTTCGTCAGGCGTAGGTATCGTTAAGGCTTAAGAGGAATGACTCAGGAAGCATCTTCATTCGTCCATAGCTTTACCCGTTCAAAAGTTTCTGACCCAGTTGCATATGCTTTCAAAAATAAAGTAATGTTGGTCAAAAACTTATGAAATAAGCTCAAAAGTTTAATGGATGGGTTGGTTTTCTTACAAACGCACGGTCTACATCTCACATTGACCTCGTCCTCTCAGCGCACACCTTCATCCTTTGAGCTCAGTCGCGGACGACCCGTGGCTCGTACCAAACACTATCCGCGGACACGCGGCAGACGCGATCTCAGGGCAGAGGCGACACTCGGGCGCCATCTGTGGAGCTAAAACCGGGCCCGTCGCGCCGCCAGCCGATCTGGCCAGAGACGGAGTTCTATAGTCTTGGCTGCGAGTCAGGGCATTGCTCCCAGGATTGTTCCAGTCCTCCGTTCCGTGCTTCTATCCTCAGGAAACAGAAATCCTTCTCCTCCACGCCACAACCCCCCTCCGGGCTGGACAGGCAACTTTATCTCATGCGGGCTGCTCCCTTGGAGCGGCACCGCTGCTCCCGAGGGAGCGCACCCCGTAGCCGGGTGCAGTGAGTGCCTTGGGGCTGGGTGGCCTGTCCTCTGGACGGGCTCAGCCCCGGCGACTCACTAGGGTGCCTGCCCAGACCATTGTCTCCCCCTTTATCCTATCATCCTCCCGGCTCTGAAATGGTCTCATTGGACCGAAAGGGCCTAAACCAACAAAACAAACAACCCTGATATTTGCACGTATAATTCCTTAGTTAGAAAATTGTATGGAACTGCGGGTGCTCGGACACTGCAAATCCGTCGCCCAAGCGGTGTTGACTTTGACTCCCCTCGACTGTTACGGTTCTGCCCTAAAGCCACGTCGGCGTTGAGTTGTGAAAACTGGGGGACACAAACAGTACCTAATATTGTCCACCTATGCAGAATGAGTACAGGTTTATTGACAACGGTATAACGCCTTCATTGCAAATTACGTTAACACTGGCTTCGCGTACTTATTACGCGACTTCAGGAGCTCACGAATCCCCGAATCATGCCGGTAGGCACCAGCGAGCAGTGAGTAAACGGTAGAGATGTCAAATATTTATGTTGCAATGCTTAACGCAAAGAGTTGCATCGCCCGGCTAGACAATGTCACCAGCCGGTCAACTTAGAATACACAATACACATTGACCCAATAGACGTCTTACAGAGTCGTGAGCAGAAGTTACACTTCTAAATAAGTCACGTAACGCTACATATTCATTCGAGCCCAGGCCTAATTGCTCCAAAACGCGCAAAGCTTTTGCCATTATAGTAAATCGTCAGTCCAACGAAACGCTACCGACATAATGAGTCCTCATAAACAAAGCAAAAAATAAAAAATAAATAAACGACCACGGCAATTTTCTGCCCCCGTGCCCACTCGCCCCGCCCCGCGCCGCACCGGCCGCTCTCCGGGCGCTGCGTTGAGGCACATCTCTCATCCCGGTGCCCGGGGCGCAACTGCAGAGGGCGTTCACCTGCAGAGCTCGCCGCCACTGCCGGTCGCCGCGGCGGCTGCAGTCGGGTCGCGCCGCGCTGCCGGGCGCCGGCAGGGTCATGTCGCGTCGTCTGCGGCAGGCTGTCGGTGCCGTGACCCGGCGCGCTGGGCGGCCGCTGGCCCTCGCGCTAGTGGTGGGCTGTGTGGTATTTGTCGTTCAGCGGCGCGGAGGTGAACCGGGTCAGGTGCATCAGTTCAGGTTTGTGCAGTTTGTACACAATGAACTTTTACATAACGCTGTGTTTTGCAAAGTGGTTACGCTTCCCCGCACCATGCAGTTATCCCGTGTCATGTATAGAGGAGTAAGCATCGCTTGGAATGTTGATTGAACACTGATAAAGGAACCAATCGTGACCGCACATTTGGCTGAAACGAAACTATAAGACGTCATGGGTTGAAAGGTCATAGCACTGCTCTGCTTATCAGTCGTTGATTGCAAGTACGACGGACAAAATTAATTTTCCTCTATTTAGATTTAACTTAGGTTCAGGTTTGACGTTCATACCCATAACTAAAACACTATCCCTCTCAGACGGCGCTGTCGTCCCCTATATCATCCCTATCTCTCTCCGCAGGTGTTCGTCGCTCCCGCACCCGCTGTCGCTGCAGCCGGTGGCCGAGCGCTGGTACAGGCCCGGCCGTCACACGGTGGCCGGCGCGCGCCGGTGTCTGCGCAGACAGGGCGTCTCCCGCGTGCTGTTCATCGGCCACTCGCGGCTCAGGCAGGTGTTCGAGCGCATGTCGGCGCACCTGAGGTTGCCGCCAGTGACCCGGCTCGACGCTCGCCGGGCGGCACTCTCCGCGGCCACCTTCCGCGACCTCCCGCTGCAGCCCGGGTGGGTCCACTTCGCCACGGCCAACTCCACGTGTCTCGAGGTGTGGCCCAAGCCGAACGCAGACGGCTACGACGGCCCGCCGCGCGCGTGGTGCTCGCTGGCCGCCGCCGCGCCGGGGCTCACACTCGAGTTCCGCTGGCGTTTCGCGCTCAAAGGGTTCCTCTCGACTCTGGCGGAGCTGAGCAGCGCCTGCGCGGCGGCCGGCGACTGCGTGGACGTGCTGCTGCTGACGCAGGGGCTACACTACCTGGTGTCGGGCAGCTTCAGCTCCACCTCGGCCGTGTACGCCGAGACGCTGCGGCGCGCCGCGGCCCTGCTGAAGCCGATGACTGCGCGCGGCACACGGGTCGTCTGGATGCTGGAGCAGCCGTCCAACACACGAAACAAGCACGACGCGGAGGGGATGAACGACGATATGACTGTATTGGCACCGCTGGCGCGCGAGTCGCTCCTCGAACTGGACGGCAGGGGTGTCTGGGTGTGGTCCTCACACCTGAAGATCGTCACGGACTTTTTGATGCGGTCGTGCCGGGCGAAAATGTACGAGACGGCCGCTGACGAGAAGGTGTGCGACGACGAGATCTACCATGTAAACAACGCGAGCCTCGACCGTATGTCGGACGAGGTAATGGATTTCATGTGCGGGTGCTGAGTGTGAACCGAATCGGCGGAGCCTTATCCGTAGTCCTGGTGAATAGTGACGCAGTGAAGATACACCTGCTCTATGTTCATTGATACAGTGTGACATGCTCACACACACACACACACACAAACGTTTATTAAGGAACAATGCTATTGTATCTAGCGGGTATTTCGAAACTCAGGGTATTTTAAGCCTGTTAGGCGTTGATACACCATAGAGAATAGAGATGGGGATTTCCTACAGGCTGCCGAAATCCGACCTCAATAGCTCAGTAACTGCATAGTGCCGCCGAATCGCCGACCCGACCAATAGCGAGTGTCCAGGTCGAATTTGCTTGTGTGTCTGTGGGATGAATAGGAAGCATAGACCATGGGAAGCTCAAGAGCTCTCGAGATATTCACCAAAAAGTTCAGCGGTTGCATCCCCCGTGCTGGCAAGGTTTGCTTGTTTGTGGCCCACGCAGAAGAGTAGACGCACCTTATACGCTATGTCAAGAGAGACGGGAGCATCGCACAGGCGCAGAGCTCTGTTGCATCCGTATTTATGTATGCATTATGTAAAATGATTGCATCACTTCAAACTGAACTCTATTCCAACTGAAACAGAGCCACCGCACGTCGGCTAGATTAATCCTTCGGTCCCAGTTGCGTTATCTGTAGTCGTTTAAACGGTCGAATATGTTAGCTGCTGGTGCGATTTGTTCTTGGTTCGTCGGCCAGAGTCTGAACTAGAGATGACAAAATGTGGACCCGAGGAACATGTCAATCGAACCGGTTTGGACTCAAAGGTAAAAAAAAAATGTTTAAGTAATCAAGATAATCTATTTTTCTAGCTTTACCGCGCTATTTAAAAGTAGACTGCAATCTTCTTAAACAAATATATTTACATCTCAGGTAAGATAATGCCACGGCCGAAAAGTTTTATGCCTGGCCAGGACGCACGCCAAAGCCATTAATTATGGCGTGTGTGGCGTGCTTTTGAGCTCACGGGGCGGCTCAAACCACTGTTTCGGGGATAAACCGTCACTACCTTAGTGAGGTGTAAACTAAGTATGAACTCGGCAGAATAACACTGCTCAATTACCGGCAGTAAGGTAAGCATTTCGCGGGCGAACACCGCCCTGCTGACCTGGCTCACTCTGACCACGGAGCCGAGTCAGGCTGGGGTCCCACTACAGGCATGTCCTCTTGAAACTGTAACCACGCGCAGTCGATATTCACAGTGCGAACTGCCCGCCACGAGAAAAACGAGACGCAAAAACGTACGACTCGTTTTTGTTGAGCTGATCTTGCCGTCCCGTCCTTTCTACTATCGATCAGTTATTCCGATCACATCAGTAATCCTAGCGACCGAGCGAATGTCATCCCAACCCTCTCCCTCCCCTCCACTCCCCATCAAAGACCCCTCCCCTGCTCCTCCCCTCCCCCTGACCTACCCCCGTCTACTGGAAGGCCTCTTTGAACGCCTCTCGCAGCGGCAGTCGGAGGAAGATGGTCGTCAGCTGAAGCAGCTCCTCGCGGTCGGCCTCTTCCAGTTGGTGCGTCTCGGTGAGGCGGCACTGGTGCGGCAGCGACGCGCCCGGCGCGTACTGTATGTTCAGCTCCACGGGGATGCGCGGCGCGTGCCGCTCGCCGCCCGAGGCGTTCAGTTTCAGCTGGAGCATCACGTCGCAGACGGCCGGGTCGTGCCACAGATTGGAGCTGCGCGCCGGCAGCTGGGCGCGCAGCTCCTCCACCTGGCGGCGGCGCGAGGCGAATGCGTCCACCTCCGTGGCCACGGCGTGCACCAGAGCCGGCAGCTGGCGAGGGAGGGGAGGGGGACGTCAGACAACCACGGGGAGAACAGCGAGACGCAGGAGACGGCAACGGACAAAGTAAGAGATATCAGGGGACATACGTCTGTGGTCTGGGAAAGTGGTCCTTTTCCTCACACATACAACAATTATTACTAGCACAGAGTACAGCACAGAGTATGGTAATAAGTCAAAGTGCTATCAGAAAATATAATAAACGTGAGGAAATACGAGTCCTTCCGTACTTTGTTTAGTTGGATGGCTGGTATCCAAGCAGCTACAAATGACCTCCCGCACGGTGCCAATACTGACTCCGCACGGTGCCGCCACTGAGCGACGCACGGTGTCATCATTGACCCACCGCACAGTGCCATCACTGACCCGCCGCACGGTGCCGCCACTGACCCGCCGCACGGTGCCGCCACTGACCCACCGCACGGTGCCGCCACTGTTCTCCCACACGGTGTCGCCACTGACCTGCCGCACGGTGCCGCCACTGACCCACCGCACGGTGCCGCCACTGACCCACCGCACGGTGCCGCCACTGTTCTCCTACACGGTGCCGCCACTGACCCACCGCACGGTGCCGCCACTGTTCTCCTACACGGTGCCGCCACTGACCTGCCGTACGGTGCCGTGCCGCTGCAGGTGCCTGTCCAGCTGAACCCCGGGCGGCAGGTCGCGCACGGTGGCCTTCAGGGGCGCGTCCTGCCGCCTGTCGTGCTCCAGCTGCAGGGTGTGCGCCGGCCGGCTGTCGTCGGGCCGCAGCCGGACGGCCACGCTGCCGGCCCGGCCGGCGGCCGCCCACAGGCCCAGGTGCCGGCCCACCGCCTGGCGGCCCAGCGTGGCGAACGAGGCGTGCATGCGCCGCTGGTCGGGCCGCGACTCGTCCAGCTGGCGCTGCAGGTCGGCGCGCGCCGCCCGCAGCTCGGCGTTGCGCGCGCGCAGCTCGGCCACCTCGGCCAGCAGTCGGTCCTGGCGCCTCTGGCGCGCCAGCTCGGCACTGCGCGCCAGCGTCAGCTCGGTGGGGTCCGACTCGATGCCGGGCGCCAGCACGGGTCGCCTAACAGACCCCATGACCCGTACCCTGCGACAGAAACCGACACCCATAATTCACAGGTCAGCTAGGGTCAGTGGTGAAGGTGATGTCCATAAGCAAAGATGACCATAAGGCAAAGAGCAAGATGTCAGATGAGGAAATTGCAAAGAGAAATCAAATAACCCATGTTTTGTGTGAAGACACTAAAGAGGACAGTGAATGGGGGGCAATAATCGCAGCAAAATGTCAGGCTTTCAACTACAAGTAAATGTGGAAACATTTGTGTTGATGACTGGGAAAATAAAAGGGGTTAATGCCTGATGGATACTAACAAGATTACAGCGACCATGTAATGGCCATATTAAAGCTGGTTTCTTCTTCTTGCACCAGGTGGCAGCACTTTTCCAAAATCAGTGCTTGTATTTCCAAAATCGTGATTTTCCTCGCTGAGAAGTGAAATCGGTTTCATAGTTCATCGTTGCCAAAAATAGCTGATAGCATTGTCATTTTTGGCACATGGTTGCCAATAATGGCATGTGCTTAAAATGACAACGTTTGACCAAACCTCCCCTAACTGATTTCAATTTGAAATCAAAAGTGTACCAAAATGAATAACAAATTGATTACATGCCCACATAATATATATGGTCATGGCTCCTTCCACCAGAATCAAATTATTGATGCCTCCATATTTTTGATCCCAGAGGTCTAGTCTGCCCAGCTGATGTGTTGTTTGTGTATTTGCAAATACATTTTTTGCTATTTAAAAAGCTTTGGGTAACATTTTATCTGGACCACCCTGTATGAGGTACAGGTACAGGGGTACAGGTACAGGTTGAGGTACAGGTCCAGGGCCTGTACCTCAACCTACTGCCTTGCAATGCATTTGCCATAAACTGATGAAATACAGCCATGCTGAATTTGTAATCCAGCCCAGGGTCATCTGAGCCTCAAGTCAAAAGTGGGGAAACTGTGGCAAAATCTGTTTTTTTTTATCAGTCTGCTATTTATAACAGCAATCTGCCAAAAAATGGGTGAATAGAATGGAGGATAGACTCTCAGCAATATTCTCATAATGAATCTGCCAGGCATTTGCTGTGCATTTGCTTCAATTAGGGCGCAGATCTGTTTTTGTATGGGACCGTACCCAAATTTGCTATAATTTGAATTGGGTACAATGACGTCATGTGCATACCCATTTTTTGGCAGATTTGTTATAAACAGCAGACTGCTAAAAATAACAGCTTTTGCCACAATTTCCCTGACTGATTCAGCACCTCATTCAGGTCAAATAGACTCATTGAAAAATCAGCAAAATGGAAAGCTAGGTATTGTGCATTGTGATTAGTATCAGTAGGATAGGTACCTAAATGTCAAAATAAAGTCCAAATAACTTAAGGATAAATTTTGCAAGTTCATACATTATTTGACATCCTCAATCCAAAAGTGACACTTACATGTCTCACAAAAAAAACACCAACGCCTCCCCTAATCACAGCATGATACGCACGCACACACATAAAAATACAAGGAAAACCATCGCTACACCTTGACTGAAGACCTAACATCGCCATTACAATTACAGTACAAAACCGTATTGGTAGGTAATAGGCAGGGTATATTGAGGGTAATAGGTATGATACAAGCATCAGTCGGGGGAGGTTTGGTCAATCGTTGTCATTTTAAGCACGTGCTATTTTTGTCACACGTGCTAAAAATGACAACGATTCTGCTATTTTTGACAACGATGAGGCCGATTTCACTCCTCAGCGAGGAAATGAAGATTTTGGAAAGATACACTGATTTTGGAAAAGAAGTGCTGCCACCTGGTGCAAGACGAAGAATCCAGCTTTAATATGCCTGTTATTTGTATGGTAGTTTGTTTTGTGGCCTGAAGTTGGAACTTAAAATTGAAGCATCCGAAAATGATCGATATTGATCGAAAACATGATGTTGATGAAAAAAATAATATTTTAAGTTGAGAGAGGAAGCCATTTTATCCAGATGCAGTAGTTTACTTCTTGAAATTATTTTTGCTAATGACGGCTGCTAATTATCCCTCATTACATGGCAGTCGTCGTAAGCAAAAATAATTTCAAGAAGTAAACCACCGCATCTGGATAAAATGGCCTCCTCTCTCAACTTAACATATTATTTTTTCATCAACATCATGATTTCAATCAATATCGATCATTTTCGGATGCTTCAATTTAAAGTTCCAACTTCGTGCCACAAAAAAGGGTATACTTCAACGTTGGACTACCATACAAACAACGGCCATATTAAAGCTGGTTTCTTCTTCTTGCACCAGGTGGCAGCACTTCTTTTCCAAAATCAGTGCTTGTATTTCCAAAATCGTGATTTCCTCGCTGAGGAGTGAAATCGGCTTCATCGTTGCTAAAAATAGCTGATAGCGTTGTCATTTTTAGCACATGGTTGCCAAAAATGGCATGTGCTAAAAATGACAACCATTGACCAAACCTCCCCCAACTGGCATCATAATCAGGATACAAGCGTTACACAACTTCAACTCAAGCTTCTTTATCGCCAAAAGCTAGAAAATGCTCATTGACTTGGAGGAAATCTGCCTCTACGACGAAAATACCTTTGAATTGACCAGTAAATTCAATCCGGTATTTGATATCACAATTTATTTCAATTTACAACAAGCAATACCTACATACGCCTCACAGATAAAAACATCTAGAAAATATAAT